GCCCAAGATGCTCTGCCTGTCCCTCTGTCCAGTACTCTCAGTACTCCCAGAGTCTGGTCTATTCGAGGGAACTAATAAACAAAAGGAGAGATGCTTTCCTGACCACACAACCAAACAAAACACCTGAAGGACCTGTGAACGGACAGTAGCCGATCCATACCTGTCTATGATTTACACTGTTCTTCCAGGGTAGGAAGCCATGCCCATAACTGCTACAAACAATAGTCATGCTTCGCCTTTGAAAAACACTCTAATTCCAACACACTCTGTCTTTGTTGATCCTCTCAGTAGCAGATCCGACTATCCCCCTTTTACAGTTGGGGTCACTGAGGCTGGACAGATGGGCCCAGGGGTGGCCCAGGGAGCAGCTGAGCCTGACGCCAGCTCACTGATTTCTGAATCCGACCCTCCCCTGCCAGTGACGTGATGCTGGTGGCCGGGTAAGTGCAGACTGGCGGGAAGATAGTCCGGGAGTAGACTGGTCTCCCAGAGCTTTTACTCAGACTGCTGCTGTGGAGGGTGGTGCCTGGTCTCTCCCTAGTTCACATTCAGCCGCCAGCTCTCCCTCTCTAGAGTGGACTGCTGCAGATGGGCAGAAATCAGCACTCTGATTGCCTGGCACAGCTGGAGGGGCCTCATGAGTACTCCAGAGACTGGGCACAGTGCCCAGTGGGCTCATGAACCACTTGGGGCTCCCCAGGTGCACCAGCCCTATCCTGCTGCACACCACCAGGGCCGCCTGCAGCCTCAAGATCCAGGTCACCAGAGCAGGACTGGAAACAGAGTCTCCAGGGCCTAAGCTTGAGCCGGCTACCTGCGGCCCCACTGCCCCTGGCAAGAAGGAAAGCCCCCTGGTGTGGGCATCAGGAGTCCCGAGTCTATCCATCCCCAGGCTGGTCTCACTGGGGAGCTTTTGGACATCACACGTACACGCACTTGCTCTCCTTGACTCTCGCCTCAAGGACCGCAGTGGACCAGTTATTCTCCTTGTCTTGTGACGGAGAAAACTGGGCTCACAACTCAAGAGACATCTCAAAAATGGCAGAGTGGGGGTCTTCCCCCGCATTTGTGGATTCTCGCTCTCCCGTCTGTAAGATGGGAAACAAAAGCCAGCCTGCTCACCTCACCGAGCATCACTTCTGGTTCCTGGTGACCTTGCGTGGGTCAGGGTAGAACTGTGCTCCACGGAGCCTTCCATCGCTGTTCTTTTGTTAGCACACAGCCCAGCCTTTCTTCCGAGGCCCCTGAAGGTGGACCCGAACCACCAACCTGCTAGCTAATAGCAGAGTGCACTGACCGCTTACACCACCCAAAGCCTCCTGACCGCCAAACCCACTGCCATCGAGTCGGTGCCGACTCACAGCGACCCCCTAGGATAGGGGAGAGTTGCCCCGGTGGGTTTCCCAGACTGTCACTCTTACAGGCGTGGACAGCTCCGTCTTTCTCCCACGATCGATTCGGAACTGCTGACCTGGTGATCAGCAGCCCAATGCGTAACCACCACACCTCCGAGTCTTAAGAGGGCCATGTCTGCAGACTTGCCTTGTATTGTCATGATGGTTGACATTTGAATGTCTCCAAGGATTACCTTGAACATTACTTTCACGAATTCTTGACTGAACTCTGCAGGCACCACACATGTGCATCTCTCGGGAAGCCAGCAAAGCAGACATTTCCTAGACTCCTTGCATGTGCAGAGCCTCGTGTTGGCACTCCATCTCCTCGTGAACGAGTGTAAGGAGGGAGGCAGGCAGGCAGGCACTCCAGCCAGCAAGGAGAGGTGGGCAAGAGTGCCCTAGACATGCTAGTGTAAGTCCTCAGGCATGGGTCCCGCACTGGACAGCCATTACCGTGCTAGAGTTGGGCAGCAAATAACATCATACCTGGTCTCCAGGAGGCCCACTGGGCATGCAGGTAGTGGACCTGGGTCACTGAGAGTCCCTCTAGACAGTTCCACCCAGGTGTCGCTCAAGAAGTCAACTCACTGTCCGGTGGGGAAAGCTTTTGAACTTGTCCATCTTACTTGCACCCTATAGATAAAAATGACAAAATATGATTATAGTCTCCAGCCACTGGGCTGTCCAGAATTAGCTGCCTATAATGGAATTAATCCAGTGACTCATCTTTATTGCAGCTGTCTGATTCTGGGCTTGGTACCGAGGTGGGGGTCACTCCTACCCTGGCCTGCCAGCCCTGCATTCTCCTCTCCAATCCTACCCTGCCACAAATCCTGGCTCAGTCTTGCCCTGGGGACAGGACATTTGCCCTTGTCCTGTGGGGCTGGAGTGCTGCATTAGCGCTCCCATCCAGTGAAGTGGCCTCCTCTTCCTTCTCCTGTCTCTGATGTGCAGGATGGAGAGCCAGCCAGCCAGCCCAGCTCTCCCCGCCCTGCAGGACTCAGTGGTGGAGATGGACCCGGCAGGAATGGTGGCGAGCCAGCCCCAGCCATCCAAGGGACGAGCACCGTGTGAGGGGAGCTGCTGGGGAGGGAGGCTGAGCGGTGGCTGTAGAAGCCGACACACCTGGCTTGAATCCCGGCCTTGCCCCTTAGGTGCGGCATG